GATTCGATTCCCAGAGAATTAACTGATAAAATGTGAACCTTGAATGCATGTACTGTAAGTGGCTTTGGAGAACAAAGTTGTTCAAAAATACAGAGGAAGGGAAGAAATAGTTGAGGAATATCAAAAGGGCGGCCTTGCCTATATTGTAAAATATGTGGTCAGGTTTATTTCTGTCGATCATGTTACACAGCAACAAGATTTCTGTTTTGTTTAGTTTTTGTACTTGAGTGCCTTTAACTGTATTGAATGTACACTGTACTGAGCAATTCTTAAAAGCAAACTTAAGAAAACTGCATTAATAATATTTTGTCATGCTTTGAAGTACTTATTTTGATGTGTTGACTAGCATACTGGACATCTGTGATATGAGCAACATTCATTATAATGTTAACTATAGCATGCTTTTCAAAAATAAATTGTAAGTTAATATATTTTAAATGTACAGAATTGCTAATTCATCATTACAAATGTGTAATTACAAATTTATTTAAATACAAGTTTCAATAGAAATTACACTAAAGTATATTTTAATTGACTATAAATGCTTGTCGGTACATTCGGCAGCACACTTGTAGCATGTTTCATGGTACATGTTTCAAATATAATAGAAATATTTGCAAAATTACATGTAAAGAGGTATGTCCTACATACGGGATTGAAAGGTTTCAGCTAGCTGCTTTCAATAGAAATCTAAGCTTTTTTAACTATTTATTTAAACTTTAAAATACTTTATTACTTTTATTACTCTTCCACAATTCATTCATGTTTAAAACTTGGTATTTTGTGCTTTTTGACAAACAGGGTCACTATGAATTTTTGTTATAAGCAAAGAGCTGTGTAAAAAAACATCAGTGTGTGTATAATGACAGATTTTTCAGCTTTTTGACTACTGTATTACTTTACTTTACTTTACTTTACTGTATGAATGTACTGTAACATCAGCAAGTTACCATGGCTGTTATCAGAAGTAATCAAACCTGGCAGCACTGCTGACTCAGGCTGGAAATCTCTGTGGGAACTGCAGTGATAAGTAGATAAAAGAGAATCAAACCACTAACAACAACGAGAGCCAACAGGAAGACAATTAAATCTGAACTGTGGAGCCTGAAGATACAAGAAGGAAGTCCCAGTGCGCTGAAGTCCCAATTGGGACATCGAGTCAAAGCTTTCTTTGTTCCCTAGTTGGTTTCCTTAGTTACTGTTTATTGTCACCTGTGTCTTGTTCAGTTACCTTGCTAATGGCAATGTGGTTAGTTTTTTACTAACTTGTAATGTAACTGACTGCTCAAGTAAGGAGCTTAAATTATTTTTTTTTACCCGACGATTCTATATCAGAAGTAGCTTGTCGCTTGACAAATTACAGTTTCAAAGTAGTTTCCCCTACACTAGTGTAAAGTGGATCCTCTTGGGAAAAAAAAAAAAAAGTACATTTTTTGCATAATTTTTTTAAAGGGTACTTCAGTGTATGGCTACTTTAAAGAATATACTTAAGTGCAAACAGAATGCATTTTTTTCCTAGTTATATGTTAATTGATTAAATAAAAATGTATTACAGTTCATTTATGTATTAAATGCAATTATCTGGACTTTAGAGTGCTGGGCTTTATGTGGACTTTAGAGTTTATCTTTATATGTAATTGCATAATTGTATTGTCTTTAAAATATGGTTAAAATGTACTGCTGAACACTCTTTAAAAAAAAAAAGGTACAAAAGTTGTCACTGGGCTGGGGTGGTACCTACATGTTTGTACCTTATTCAACCCTATAATGGGAGCCTATATTAGTAACTTAAAAGTTATATATTAGTATCTAAAATGCAGTACATTTGTGAACACATCAAAATAAATATTCAAAATATGTTTAAAAACACATAAGATTTGAAGTACACTGCTGGTGCAAATGCAGTACAGTTAAACGATTATTTTTCACAAAGCGAATAAAGAAAACAAATTTGACAATAATGTTAATTGTAAATTACAATACAAAACAAATTAGTTAGTATTCACTAATCTGCTATCACTAATTTTATCCTTTAAAACTCATATTTGATAATCAAAATTATATATTTAAAGGTTTTTCCCCCATGAAAATTATTTCTTTGTTTTAAAATGGCTTGAATGTAACTCTATACCCTTACCTCACTGAGTATACATGAATATGCTAATATGCTAATTAGTCCCCGCCTCCACTCAATCTGCTCCACTTTCACTCAGTTAACTGAAGCAGTAAATGCTACACAATCAGAAAGTGAATCCGTAAATGAATTTATTAAATTCTGAATGGATTATAGCATAGAAAGCGTTCGGTTATATGAAGCTCTACTGTACAATTAAACTTTTATTTACATTGCGTCTACTGCTTTGTTATAATAAGAGGATACTTGCAGAAGTCAGTGCTGAACAAAACCTAAACTTTATGAGGGCTAAGTGTATTCTGACTAACTGAAACACTCCTGATTGACCATCGCATTCAAGAAATAAACAGATATGCCTGTGAACATCCCAAAGGTTGACAGGATTGGGTTACATGTTTGTGATGACAGGAAATAGGCGATCTTGAGACTGTCTTTAGTACAGTTTTAAAGAGAAAATGCTTAACAATGGTGTTGACTGATGAATTAGCACACTGTTTGTCTTTAGGCATATTACAAACACCAGAGTCACATGTAAACAATATTAAAAACTTAATGTTCACCACAAGGGGTCTTTAAATAATTCAGCATATGATCATTTAAATAAATACTAAAGCCATAACTGTACACTTCTGCCATGATTTACTCACCCTCATTTTTGAGTGTACTGTCCCTTTAAATGTACAGAAATGCTGTATAATCCTCTATCAGTCCATCTCTTTTTCTCTCTCTTTCAGGCAGATGTTTTGTCTAGGGTTCAGGGCAGTTCTCCCAGAGAGTGTTTACTTTCTGTTTCCTGTGGGCGCTTTTGTGTCCCTCGAAGTGCAGCCGATGCATCAGGAGCCTCCTCTTACTGGAACACATTTGCAGATAAGAGCCTCCTCACGCCTATGTTTACAATAAACACCCAAATAATGTAAACTACAAGCTTTCACAAGAGACTACATTTGGTGAAATCACATTCTTTGAGGGTGCATTTCACAGGTTCTTTATTGCTGTGCACTTTGTTTGAATACTAATATTTCTTTCAATCCTCCAGGTGGCGCAACAGTTTCCTCCGTTTCCTTTCTCAAGAACTCTGTACATCATCTGTGGGTTTATGAAAGTCTCCACTTTTTTCTATGTAAGTGCAATGCTTGTGGATGTAAGTGCAATCTCATACTTTTTATAGGAACTATTCCTTTAATTGTCATGTATTCATTATCAATGGCTGAGCGCTCCTTCACACCAACAAATCTGTTTTAGCAGTTTGCACACTGATATATTGAAGCCGTCATTCGGAGTCTTATTTTCCATGACACACAGTCACTTCTGTTTTTTGTACCAGTCTTTCTGTCCTGTCATTAGTCAGTGTGGACAGGAAGGACCGTGTCGCTGGCGATGTTAAAGAGCCCTCATGTAGGAGACTTCAGCAGGTGTTTTCTGTATTCAGAAGAACCTAAGTCAAAAGCCATACACAAACCCAAACACACAGAGACATACACAAGATGGCCATTCCACATGTTATAGCCTGGCGCTCTCTCTCTCTCTCTCTCCTGCTACACATCAGATCCAAGAACATATATTTCTCACAGTAATATTTATTTCAAAGTCTCTCATTATTGAGCCAAAGGCAGCAGGACTTGGTTTATGCTTTGTTGACAGTCTGGTAGCCAATCAGTGTCACTGTGCAGAGCCAGATGTTTTGGCAGCTGGTTTATATGTTAAATACCTTCCATGCGTCAGACTTTATGAGCTGTTTGCACTGAAACGGGTGCAGTACCCTGGTACATTTGGTCATGCGTCCATCAGCCTTGCTTTCACTTTCAGTCTGAATCTGTGTTGACGTACTGCTGACAGATTAGATGCATTTTCTCTGGATTTCACAAACTTTTAAATCTTTCAAATCAAACAGTAAAAATAGTAATTTTGTGAAAAATAGCTGTCAAAATGTGTTCTGACTGAATATTTTTAAATGCTGTGAGGAAAAGTCTTTAGTGTTTCCAGTCTTCGGAAATCGATCTGATATGCTGCTTTACTGCTCATGAAACATTTTGAATTATTATCAATGTTAAAAATGAGTTTTGCTGCTTGATTTTTTTTTTTTCTTTTTTGTGAAATCCCTGACACTTGTTTTCAGGGTTTTTTGATGAATAGCAAGTTCAAAAGAACAGCATTTGTTTTAAGTCTTTATACTGTCACTTTTGATCAATCAAATGCATCTATGCTGAACAAAAGTATTCTTTTCTTTCAAAAATAAAAATCTTACTGACCCCAAACGTTTAAATACACAGTATAGTGTTTTTGACAGTATTAGATACATAATATTAATGCACTGCTATGTAATGCTATAATAAATACTGGTCACACTTTAGTTTAGTTTAATGTCCAATTCTCACTATTAACTATGATTTTGCCTCAATAAACTCTGCTTTATTAATAGATAGTAAGTAGTTGTTAAGTTTAGGTATATGGTAGAGTTAATATATAGAATATGGTCATGCAGAATAAGACATTAATACTGTATGTATTTTATAAGTACTAATAAATAGCCAATATGATATGCATGCTAATAAGCAACTAAAGTGAGAACTGGTCCCTAAACTAAAGTGTTACCTAAATACTGCTTTATACACATATCCAAAGGAAGCCTTAGGTAAAAATATTGCATAACCAATGAAAAACATGTACTATATTCACATTCCTCAGGCTTTAAAGGAAAACAGAAAAGCAGCAAGGCACGCATCTCATTTTTAGTGTGTGCAGTGTTCAGTCCTCCCCCTTCAACTCCAATAACCCTGCGACCAATGAGGAACTCTCAGCCTGTGATGTTAGGATCCATGCCAGCAAGTTCGGTGCCGACAGGGAAAACACGTTGAGAGCAGATCAGAGTCTGGATGCGCTCTCGCCGCTGTGTCCCGCTGAACTCCTGTGAATGACAGACACGCAGCAGACGGACACTAATCTCTCCAGAGTCCAACACGGCTGTCTGGGTGAGTTTGCTCTGACTCTTCATGTCCTCAGCTTAATATGGGATGACTTTTACCTGTAAGAAATGTTAATCTCACACTCAGATATTGGTACATCTAATGCACTTCTTGAATGAAGACTCAGTACTTTCTCTGAGAAAGTTTGACATTAACACTTAGAAAGCTTGGCTTTTTTTGTGTTTTTTTTTTTTTTTAATAAATTGTTCATTATGATACAAGGTGAAATGTACATCGTTATGTTGTTTTGTTACATAGTGAGTTTTAGAATAACTGTATAGTTTAAGTGTGTCCCCAAAAGTCACTTAATAAAAATGTCAATTGATATTGCAATGTTAACACTTGCAATGTTAGTGGATCATGTCTATAGTTAATGTAATTCTCTACACCTGTGTATACACGTAAAAAAAAATACTAGCAGTTTCTGAAAAAAAAAAAAAAAACGTTTCAAAGTACCATAAATCCTTCACCATTTTTTCCCCTCGGTGTAGTCTGTGTGAATTGAAATCATATATCCACTAAAAATCAACAAAACACCAGCTGCTTAAAAGTAATTGAAGCAAAAAATGATTATGAAAATTAGTTGAGCCAATCCTGCATCATAGATGCTTGCTTTGTTATTTAGAATCTAGTACATTTTGAAGTGTGAAGAATGTGAAGAACACTGCAAATCGTTTATTCTGATGAACGCATGAAATATGTGGATGTCACATGCAATATACTGTAAGAGGTATATCATGTGGTCACTTTTCCAATTATTCCACATTCTCATGTATAATTACTCCTAATCAACATAAATGTGACGTTTATTCCGGTCGGATGTCTTTGATCCAATGCTGTGGTTAAATTCCCAGAACGGGAAAAGTGTCCCAGTGAATGCATGATGTGCAACAATGCCAATGAGGATGAATGAAGCCTCGGTTTCGTGAGGTTAATGAATAGACTTTTGCGCTTTATTAAGTTTATCATGTATTAAGGGTGAGGTGTATTAGAGGGCGTTGCTTTCTATAAAGCCCCCTTCCTGCTGTCTTTTTTCCTGAACTATGACTGGTATGATCAGTTTTTTAATAGCTTCCCCTCCCTCTCTCTGTCTCCACCCTCCAGATGTGTTAGATTCAGTGCTTTAAATGGTCATCTGCAGGTTAGGTGCTGCTCTTTATTGGGTTTCAGAGCTGGTGTGATCAGAGGACAGCAACAGGCTCTTTCATGTCTTATCTGTATTTGTTCAGAATCTTGTGAGCGAGTCAATGAACACAGTTGTTTCCTCTTGTTATGTGTAGACAAATCTATACAAAGTGTTTGTGCAGCTGGCTGAAATTACATTTAACTAGACTACCAGTTTGTGTTTTCTGACAGGGCAGAGCATTTTTGGGGCTTGATTACATTGTTTTACCTGAGGCAGAACCACACATCATACAGAGCATGTTTAACCCTCATACCCTCATCTTCAACAGTTTGTTGAAGAACAGTCATACTACTACAACTTTTTTTTTTTTTTTACATAACACAGCATAAACAACAATCATCTGGTCTTCACCAGCTTCTATAATTATACAACTCTATGTCTCGGATAACACATAACAGATTTTGTTGTTATTATTTATCCAAAAGCAAAGGAAGCCAAAATGCTGAAACCATGACTGAGCCTCGTTCTGCTCCCTGGTTTCCCTGTCATGAATCAGAACAACATGAATCCGGATGCATCAACAAGGAAGGTTGTTGTTGTCATCAGTCTGAATAGAATTATAAGGCCATTTCTGAACAATTTGAAACCAATCATTCTTTATTTTCTGCATTCTTCGGGATGATTTACAAACAGAACACTGATGAAAATGGAAAATTCCTGTCAGGAGCAGAAGTCTTTGAAAATTCACACCTTGGTGTGTGTGTGTGTGTCCTTTAGCCAATGAAAATGAGTGTCTCTTAACTCTCGAGAAATCCTGAAAAGTGTCCATGATTTTAACACTGACTTGTGAAAGGATGTCAGACCACTTAAGTCCAGTTTATCACAATCCAATAAAAACAAGTGACGATCAAATCCCATCTTTCCTGCTCTTTTAATATTGCACAGCACAACTTTTTTCACCATCGATAATACTAAGAAATATTTCTTGAGCAGAAATCCTCAGACTGGAATGATTTCTGAAGGATCATGTGACACTGAAGACAGAAATAATGGTCCTGAAAATATGGCTTTAACATCACAGGAATAAATTGTATTTTAAAGTATATTAAAATACAACACAGTCTAAATTGTACTGTATCTTGATCAAATAAATGCAGCCTTTGTGAACATGACTTTCAAAAACATTAAAAACTCTTATTAAAACTATTGACTAGTAATGTACCGTACATTAAAATAATATTTATATTTTTTATTTAATGTTAAAAACATAAAAAAATCAAACCAGCCCTAAAACGTTTGAATGGTAGCGTATGTTAGATGTTAAAGTACAATCCAGAGAAGACCGTGTGGTAGGATACAGCCTGTTCTCTGGCAGCTCTGGGTTGCGTTTTTAAAGTTACATTTGAACAATCCACAATATTTGTAGAACAATGTCATGAGAACAGACTGAACCTTCATTATACTCACAGTGTTTCTCCACAAACACGTCAAACCTACTGGCAAGCACTGTGCTGCATGGACGGGAGATGATTTGGCCTTGTTTTGCTGCCAAAGGAGCCAAAGACCTCGCTGTCATCAAGTCACCCATGAACTCCCTCTTTATACTAAAGTACCCAAGATCTGTCTGATGGCCAAAACTGATGATCCCAAGGACAATTCGAGAATTGAGGGAGATGGAATAACCATTGAAAGATGAAACATTCATTCATTCATTGAAATATTCCCTCTTTTGGCCATTTAGGAGATTTATAACCATGATATCTAAAGTGTCACTTGTTCTCTCATTCAGAGCTGAAATATCAGACAGCAGCACACTGATTTAAGATTTGATGGACTAATCATGCTTTGAGGATTGATTTGGACTTGAATTCACACTGAGATCATCTTCTTGACATTTGCTTTGCTCATGCTAATCTGTAATCACGCTTGTGGTTCGGATTATAATTTAATTTTACTTAAATGTTGAGTTAACAGTTAATGAGCCAAGAGCGTCTGTGTGGCGTCCAGGAACAATGTGTTGCAGAGCGAGTGAGATGTGTACTCTCTCATTCTTTCACAGTGACCTCACTCAGTTCAGGTCTTTAACCTGTGCTGTGGATGAACAATGGTTTGCCTCATGTGAACACATCAGCTCTGGGACGGTCAAGGAAAACCCCACTGAAAATACATTCAGAATAGATTTGACAAGCTTTAGAGCGAATTGTCCAGTCTAGTGTGCATGTCAGAGACTACACTGTGTATTAGAAAACGTCTCCAGGTTATGTATGTAACCATGGTTCCCCGAAGGGAACGAGACGCTGCGTCCGAAGACACTACGGGAACGCCCCCAGCGTGACCGTGCTCTGAATCACATGTGTAATCAGTCCAATGGAAGGGCGAGACGTCATAGGCGGGTG